ACCTTAACGATTCTATGATTCTATGATTCAAAAGCAGAAGTCTCTACAGTGCTGAAAAGCATGTTCTCCTTCTGTGCCCACTCTTCTTCTACAACTAACATGTTTTACTTCTTATTGGAATATGTACTGCATCTGTAATAATTATTGCAATGAAATTCTAAAAACCCCCATCTATTTACTATATACTATTTAAAGTATAATACATATTTCATGCTTCTTAGAATATTAGGTTTTTTTCACTTTTTGCAGTTTAGATTTTTCCATAATAAATAACTCTAAATACTTGCATTATAACTAAGTTTCTTCTCCCCCCTTCAATCTTTAGTTTACCTTGGCAGAGCTGCTTAGTTTTAGTCTAAGTCCAGCTTCACTAGTCACTTTCCTTCACTCTCAGTGCTTGTCCACACTCACACTGGCTACAAAGCTGTGGTCAACCCAAAGGGAAGCTTATGAATTACTTCTCCACCTGGTTTAATCTGCCCACATTGCTTACACTGAGCATACTACTGCCAGATTTCTGCTAAACAAAGGTAGGTATTATTTCAAATCAAGTTGTGAAAAGAAGAAAACCACTGTATTGCTGTATGATGTGATTTTATTTTTTCAATGAAATGCCCTAGCGTCATAAAACAGAACACATTTTCTAATCTTGAAGCCAGCAAGATTGGGAAAAAAAGAAAAATCGAACTTGGTTTTCCTATATATAATTTCCATATTGAGACTACATTCAGAGGAAAAAACCCTAGAATTAAAATGCAAGCAGACATTACTTACGCAGCTCTCTTAAAAATAAACTGGACATGTCATACAACTCACATATGGTGCTTTGCTAGTATAATATGCTACAAATAGAATTATTCAAATGCAACTATGCAGCTTTTCTATTACCTAAAACCTTTTCATTTTATTATGTTGCAACACCTTTATTATTTACTTCACACTTCATTACCATACTACAGAATGATCTTTTCTCCTTCTTTTCTGGTGGCTTGTTTCTCAGAAAGGGGGCCTTCACTGTGGCTTTCTTTGGAAACACCAAGCACTCCGTTTCAGATATTAAAAATATTCAAATCATTTCAATATACATTCACAACTAGATTAAGCCTCCATCTTTCAAGTAAGGGTCTCATGACTTGCTAGTAAACTAATGGAAAGAGCTGGTTAGTATTTATTCCTGTTCTCATTTATGAGAATGTGATCTGGATAGCTGTAATGCCTCATAAATGCCCTCATCTGTTGGTGAGCTGAGTGTGCACCATCACATCCTGCAAAAGAATTACAGTAACTTGAAGTCTGGGTTCTCTCACAATATTCATGGATAGACCAAAATAACTGCAGAACTTTTTAAACAAACGACACTTTCAAAATATTTGCATTTTGGAACTGCATAATCTCATTTTCAATGAGGTTCTTAGGTCAAAAGTACTATTTCACTTATTAAACATGGCTTTAAAAATACAGTATACATAACACTTATGTTACAAATGTCTAACAAAACATTGGATCAATCAACATTTCAACTCATTGCATTAATAACGAAAGTAAACAACAGCACTTTTCGAAAACTATTCAAGTATTTCCCTGAAATACCATATAAGGAAAACCAGATCCTAAACTTTGTATGATTGTACTTTAAGCAAGTATCATTTGCAAGTGCTTTTTGTCATATAGAGCAGTATGAATAATACTTTGTAGCAAAGATATAGCACACCATTTTGATATTACACAAAACTGGAATGTAAATATTTCAATAGAAAAAAAATCAGCCATTTATAACAATTTTCAAGTGCTTCAGTAATAAACTGACCAATCACCATGGCTTACACAGAGCAAATACATGAGACATAAAACTAATACAAGCTGAATGACAGAAATGCCAATAAATATACATGAACAGAGAATCATTAGCTGTTCAGACACAAAAAACCACCTCAGATGCAATGAGTTTTAAAAAGAACTACACACAAGAAAAGATAGAAGAGAGCAGGGGCTAACTTCTGATCTTCAAACAGGAATAAATATGTACATGAAACACAAAATATAGCCCCAAGCCTACACACACAACATGTGTGTGTCACAATACACAAATCCATACACAACTTAAATAATCACTCCATAGCTATACATGATAGTCTTAACTTTTTTTGCTATAAAAACAAATCAGCACAGTGAATTCGTGATTTATCAGATGCCAGTTTCTTCCCTTGGCTGCACAAAACAAATTATTTTGTTTCATACTTAGTTAAATAAACATTATTTTAAAAACTTTCAATCACAAAATCATATTTTTAAACTTAACATTCCAACACATTATTTTGCAAAGACTTTTTAACGTACGTAGTAGAATCTCCAAAGAATTGTGTACTGAAGAGGGAAGCTTTTCATATGTTAATTTTCGATATTTTTAAAAATTTAAAACTTGCTGGTGTTTGAGAAGATATTTATATTTTCCTTTGCTTGTGCCTTCCTGGTATTATAAGTATCCCTGCGAGTTGCTTATAAGACATTTCAGTTGCTGTGTGTGGTATTTGGTATCATCCCAACAGTCATGAAACCCTTTATAATCCCAAAAAGCATCATGCAAGGAAACCTTTATAAATAGAATATACAGGATAAGGTATGATCTGTATACAGATGTGCTTTATTTTTCAAAGTATTTCTGAACTCTTATTGTTATTACTTAAAGCCAGGAATGTGTGTTTGAATTGCATTGATAAGTTGCAAGGTATAGTCAGAATTACAAAATGAAAGATTTTACTAAAAAGAAAGATGAGAATGACAACACTGTTGTCCAGCATTTAAGCCACATGCAACTACATAACACTCCCAGCAGAAAACATCTTCTCAGACACTGAAAATACCTTGTCTTGATATCTTGGTTTGATGACAATGGAAAATCCAATGTTTTATAACCTTTAGATATTATTGCAACACAACTGCTAAATTAGCTCTCTAGAAAAGCACAGAGAATTTATCAGTCATTGTGAATACATATATATACACCAATCCTCTCTTTTCTAACGTAACTTAGATTATATTGCTCCAAGATGTATTTTAATGATTACAATGTTTAAAAAAAAAATGACACAATGCAATATGATGTCTAAAATTATACTGAAGCCATTAAAAAAAATTTCTAAAATTTTAAAATACTTGTCAATTTGACTAAAATGCATATTTACTCAATTTCCTTGAGCTTTTATTTTTTCTTCTCCCCATTGGAGGAACAGTGTCTATAGCAATTGTTCAACGTTACTCCGGCTGTAGGCAGCTTCATCTTTACAGTTTTCCTCGATTCCCCTTGCAAATAGTTTCATTAACTGGCAGTGAACCCTGAAAAATATGGAAATCAATTAATAAGAAATAAATGAGTACTACATATTTAATTCTAATAATCCATGAATTTCAAGCAGTTGGACAAAGTTGCTTGCTCCAGACTATAGAAACCACATTCTCATTCTTGATACAATCCTCCCCTGCAAAAAAGGGATGGATTCCTTCTCCCCCTGGATGCTTTCATGTATCCATCACTCCTGTCACTCCTCTCTTCCACACAAAAAGTTCTATGGGGCACTTTGATGAGCTGATCTTATACAATATACAATATTTATAAAAATCACTTCGGACTGCTAAGTGAATATGTTCCAATGGAACACACTTGCATGTAAATATTTTGTATTGTGGCTTTGGCTCCCTTTGTTCTAAAAAGAACAAGAAAAATCAACTAAAAAAAAACCCAAACAAAAAAAAAGAAAAAAGCCCTTCAAATTTCACAAACCTCTACTTCCTTCTAATATGACTATCTGCACAACTGCAAACTTCTTTCTCCATCTGCCAAGGCTGGAGATAAGACTCTGTGCTGTGTATCAAAAACCACAAAGTATGGGACATACTCAGTATTTCTTTAAGACAAAGATGCTTACTTAAGCTTAAATTTAAACAGGAAAACCTATTGCTCAGAGTAATGAGGTACTCCACTCATTTAAAAAAGAATCCTCCCAACACCACCTTCACTTTCAGCACTTCAAGCATGTAATATCAGTACTTAAGAAGTAAGTAGGACTTCACAGGTAGGGCCATCCATCTATCTCAGTCAGAGTGATCATTTACAATACACATGGTTGGTGTATTCTCTGGAAAGGACTCAAAAAAGTAACAAAAAAAATTAAGTTTATTATCAGAAGACTCAAATTTGCTATGCGGAGGCATCTTTTTTTGGGATGTCTTTATGAGTATCTTCAAAATCAGTTTTCTGTTACATGGAGGGAAAAATCCATGCTTACCTCACTTCAATTGCTGAACTGTCCAGAGTTTCTCCATCACAGTTCCAGGTGCTATTAGCAATATTACAGCAACAGGCTGGATGATCTCTGCAGAACTGGCCAAAACGTTTCTTTCCTATGTCCGTGACATTGCTTTCGTTGTCTTCTGAAAGCTTTGATGTAAATTGAAAACTCTTCACCCGATAAACATCTACAAATGAGAAGTCAAACTACAAAGAAAAAAAATAAATCAAAACAGGCAATTAAAATTAGTTAAATACATTTAATGTGTAAAGCAGCTCAGCATGCAGCATTTTGTATTCAAGAAAGTCTGTCCACTCCAATTTTCTAGAGACGCTTACCTGAGGCATAGAGTGATTTTTGTTTTTAAAAAACTGCACAAGTCAGAAACAATAAAACAAAAATGGAACCTTACTTTTCAGTGGCCCTCTTCAAGTAGCTGCAGTACTGCCACTTTATAGATAATCAGGTTACAGGTTCTGAGATTATGAGTAAATGGGATATAAAAACTATTAAAAAACCCCCATAAAAACTATTATAACATGGAATCAAACTAAAAAAGGTTTGGATTGGATCCTCAGGACCTGTTCAACTACAATCCTTAAGACACATAGGCTTTTCTGAAAGCTGCCTGCTTCTGCATTTGGAACAATTCCCTGAAGGTGAGAATTCCATGGCAGCGTGATCAAACCACAGAGCTGGGTGTATACAAAAATAAGAATAGAGGGCAATATTATTACATTCCAACAAAATAAAAATTATTTTAACTAGTTAATTCAACTACAAAAAGTAGGACAATTAAGAGATTGCTCTTATAACAGAGGTTGCAGATTTATACGACAATATTGTACAAATGCTTTAAAATAGGCTTTGTAAATTAAAGGAACAATCAAATTAGAGGGTGCCCCCACCTGCTCTGAAAGCAACTTAACTGATATGGACTTAAACATTTAGCAAGCTGTAGTAAATACAGACATGTCATGTAGCAAAGGCAATGGAGTATGTCTGTGTGCGTCTATGGGCGGGGGGTGGCCAGGAAGCAAAAGTGAATAAAAAAACCAGTTTACCCATAAACTAGTCTGTATTAATGTACAGTCACATTTTTCTTCCTTTATCTTTTCACATTTAAGTTTTCAAACAGAGTTTCCCACTATTATAGTAGATACTAACCTGGGATGAGGACATGTGTACAACCCTGCATTTAATCTACCGTGCAAAAGCAACAAATCCTGGAGAGAAACAATGAGGAAGCACTGGAAGGGGAACGACCACAGTGGCAAACACAAGAAGCATCAGAGTTGAAGGGACCTCCTAGATCTTAAGTTCCCTCGGCTTTTAACAATAAACAAACTGCGAAGTTTTTTCAAACTTGGAAGCAGTGGCTCATGGATACAATGAGGCTCACTAAGCAGTGTGCTAGTCCAAACAGCTTCGTTGCAAAAACTGGTATCCACAACTGCACAGAGCCACCCATGAATGCTCTCATGTCTCAAGTCTAAGGGGAACGTAGTCTCTTGACAAATGTTGAAGCCAATTTGAAAGGTAGCCAGGGAAGGCTTTGAATAATCAAAAATATCAAGGGAACAATGAGAGTGAGTGGGAAGGAGTAAAGGGAAGAAGAGTATGAGGAATACAGACACACACACAATGTCCCAGGGAATAGTAATGAGGAAATACAGGAAAGAGAATCTATACTAATTCTGCTACAGAGGAGGAAGAATAGCATCATAATCAAGTGAGATTTATTATTGCTTTTATAATTAGATATGATATTAGTCCATTGTTCAGATAATTTCCGGAACATGTTAATAATATCAGGTTGGGACAAATATTAAATGTATATATTCACAGCCATAGCTCTGGTTTCAACAGATATTACAATCCAAAGCGGTGATGAACCTTCCCTTGTAGTTTATCCTGACAGCTACAACATATGTAAGGAATAATTTTGAAGCTGAATACATAAAGCTCATAACCTGGTCACATATATGTAGTAAAATTCTGCTAAAAGCCTGCAGTTTACAATCAAACTGCAGTCCTGGTAACTTTCTTCTAAACCACATTTTTATACAGTTTACAAAAAGTGATTTATTATTCTTCACTACATCTACCTCAGCTACGTTATACTGTTGTGAGCAGTTTTTCATGACAAATACATGGGGGCACAGTTGTGATAAAATCACTTTAAATATTGTCCAAACAGCAAATATATGGCAAAATGTTACGAAACAGAATTCAATTAGCAAAAGTGGAATTTTGTTAGAATGCTATAGCCGAAGACTTGACTCTGCTAAAATGATTTTTTTTTTTTAATGGTACACATGCTGAGATTATGTCACCCAAAATGTATAAACTTTTTTCTTTTTTTTAAAAAAACCTGCTTTGTAGATGTTCTTTTTGTCATATAAGAATATCGATATTTACAACTTAGACTGACTCTGGAGAATTCATTGTCAAAGGGAATACACACCTGATCATCTTGGTTTGTATGTCTGACAAGATACCGTAGAAAATCAAATCTGGAGCATTTACGAACTAGAATGAGGTCAGCTGAACCATCTGCCAAATGAGCTGCTGGTGAAAGACCTTTCGGACTTCGTGGACAGGCACAGCTTATATTTACTGCATTGATGGCTAGAAATTTCCCTTTAATAACCTTCCATTCTTCTTCATCTTCTGAAATGCATCAAAAACCATGGAGATAGGTTATTATTTGATCTACTCAGGAGAACACTAAAAAGAAATCACTCTTGGCAACTTAAAAAGTTTTTACTGGGCATACTCATGCACTGTCAATACATATCTAAAATAAACGGCATTTAAAAAAAATCCATTTTTCATATACTAATAGAGAAAGTTGCTTTCTCCCTTCACAGCCTGTGATTATCTACTAAAACCGCTGGCCATTTCTGACATATGCATGTCAAATTCAGGATCAATGCTATTTGGGTAAAGCCACAAAACCTTAGGCAGGGACCAGACAGAAGCAAGTTACAACTCTTGTTGTTTAGGAGGATTTTTAACTTTTTAAAAATTTTATTCTTGCTTTCAGCATGTTAATCTTGAATAAACAATGATGCAAAGACAGTGGTTTAGTATTTGGTTTCTAAATCAATATTCCTTTTTTGCCTCAATGCCGCAAATTGTATTTAAAAAAAAGACAAAGCGGGAAGAGATGACTCAGGGTTCAGCAAGAACCAGCAGGCAGCAGATCAGGAGTCTGTTTCCACCCCAACCCACCCCCAAATGTCTGCAGATGAATACTATTAGCAGAGTTGAACTTTCCTGTGCATAAATCTTCAGAGATTTCTGGAAAACAATACAAAAATCTGTTTTCAACAACATGAAACCATTCTGTTAGAGATTAGACCTAGACTGAGCTTAAGTATGTGATGGCAATCAATACTACCAAGAGGCAGAGGAATTTTCCGGAACAAAGAAACACTGGCAGGCACTACAGAGAGTTGTCATCTAAACTGTATTTTCTTGAATACGAATAAAAATAGATAAAAAATGCCTTTGCATTTTTAGACTACACATAATCGCCTTCCTCACTACAATTAAAAAAAAAAAAGCAATAAAGCAGCCATAACACTCCTTTTCTCCTCCCAATGTAAGTGGATTCTTATTTCAAATGAACAACTCCACAGAAGTAATGATTGTGGAATAGTCTATGGAGATACACGTGGTTCTAAGACTGGAGTTCAGGAGTGAAGTGCCATTGTTGATGATGGGGGTAAGATTAAGGAATGAACAAAAAATGATAAAGTTTGTTTATATAAGCCTGTTAAAAAAAGTTTGATCATCAAACCAGAGCAAGGTAGAGGTTTTGAAGCATATTAACTAGTATGGACTTAAACATCTATCCAGTTCCCCACTGGGTTAACTTATAGTTATTTTCAGAGTGCTTCTTTGATGAGACTATAGATGACATTTATGCTATATATTTCATGTCCTGGAATTCTGATATTCTTTACTATTTTAGTTTCAGGAACTTCACATTTACTTTAGAGAATCATTACAATTGTCTGGGTAATTTTGGACCTAAAGTCTATGATGCATTCATTTTGAATTGACCTCTCCAAGCTTTATACATCAGAAAAAGAAGAAAAAATAAGAAAAAAATGCTTGGAAAGTATTCTGTAGTTGTTCTTTGCTCTTTGAACTTCTCTCACTTCCTTGAATTTTTATTTATTGGAACTTCTTACTATCCACTCTTCAGCAACAGAACCAAGAAAAACAGAATTCCAGGAAAAGCAGAGTAGCATTATAATGTGAAAAGACTTAAAGGAAACTAAAAACTTAATTCTTTTTTCATCTAGACTATCCTCTCTATCTCCTGATAAACAAATCAGTAATAATAAGAAAAAATGCAGCTCTTAAATTCAACATTTTCGCATCATTTGCCAGCGTGGTTTTAGTACCAATTATACTTGCTTTACAGCTGATCTTTTTATGTTGCTTTCAAACAGGACATCACAGAAAGAAATAATTCAAATCAGATTAAAAATGTGTATCTTAAGAAAGATGAGAAAGACTCAAACGTCAAACCACAGAATGACTTTGTTCAGGCTGCAGGCAAATGACGAGGCCCTGCTCTGAGATTAAGGTACCTGAACAGAACATAAGAAACTACTGGAGCTAGAAACATCTATGTCCAGAACTATACAAGTGCTTCTTTACAAGAAAACCAGGCATTTTCTGATATACGAACAACAAAATGAAAACAACACCCTTTACTGATAAATCCTTTTGTTGTTTATCTGAGAAGCACTAACAATTTAGTCTATAGTCTGTCCAGATAGGCATTAACTTTTGAAGTATGCTCACTGTAATAAATGTCTCAAATTACTTAAGGTAGAATGCTTATATATATTACTGTAAAAGATTGTTTTCACCTGGTGGAAAAGTACTGTTCAGTATAAATTTCAGCATGTTACTCAGAAAAAGCCTCACTGTTCAACTAAGAACAAAGTCAGGGTATTTATCACATTTTAAATGACCAACTGTTTTCATAACCATTCTGCAGGGTGCATCACTGTAATACCATAAATTATTCGCCCAAAATATCTTTCATACAACAGAGCAATCATAAGCAGGGAGAGCATAAACGGCACTCATTTCAACTATCTATTGTGTATATATACACTGCAAGTTGCTGAAATCAGCTTAAAGTGCTAGCACTCAAAATATACTCAGCACATGCACATAGACTTCTGCATAATACAAAGAAATATGTTCAGTGACAGCCAATGCAAGCATCCTTCTAAACTTATCTGAATTGTACACAAACCAAATAGGCACAATGAAGGAGTCAGCCAATACACCCCGCTGAGTAAAAAGCTTATCTGAGGTGGCGATTTAAAATCCTTTTTATTGCCAATCAAGAGTAGCTGGTTGTTATTGTTTGCTTACCAGTACTGCATGGAGAAGAGACTGGATTGCAAAGAAAGCCAGCTAGTGGAAGTAAAATGAATTTAAGTAAACAATGTACTACATAATCAGCTGCTTAATGTCTTATACAATGCTGGCTAAAGCAGTCTTTATTGTTCACTAACCTGTAGCTTGCTTCTGCCTTTGCTCCTTTGCTGGATCAAAACTAACAAAATGGCAGATTTCCAAAAAACCCCAAAATCTCAAACACAACAAAACAAAAAAAAACCAAACAAAAAAACCCCACAAACAAAAGAAAAAAGGTTGGCAATTTCTAACTACAGTTATTTCTCAAAAAGACAGATTTTTCTCTTACCAAAAAACCTGCTATCAGATTTAGCTCCTAAGAAAATATTATGTAAAGCAACTTCTTTAGCTGAATCTGGGCATAAATTAAAACAACTTAAGAAATACTCCAATCTGGCCATCTGTTGACTGTATCAAAGATCTGAAAGCAGTAGCTGGGATGAAAGCACTATAGAGAAGCATGCGTAACAGGAATTCAAGCTGGCATAGAAATCCATATACAGTCTTCATGCTACCAATGAATTTCTATAGTATGATGATACTGGGTTTGCTAACAGATGGCTAGAACCTGGCCCAGATACTGTGCAAAATAACTGTAATTATAAGATAATCTAGGTCATAAGGACCAATGTTTGTGTCAAGAAAATTATGGTTTTATGCACTGGGCTTTACAAGGAAAAAGGAGAAGAGACAGGAAAAAGGAGAAGAGACAGGAAAAAGGAGAAGAGAAAGAAAAAAAAAAAGAGTAAAAGCAGAAGCAAGCACCCATGGGAAGGCTGCCTGCTGTTTAAGAGGGGTTTATCCAAGACAACAAATTGAGACCAGAGGCGAAACTTGGCCAAATGAATCTGCATATCTTACTCCAGCAAGGCCACAAGTCTATCAATATCAGTGCTTCCCATTAGCACATAGTAGTCAGACATAAAGAGATACAGCTAGGAGGATGGCTGCACAGAATCCAGTATATTAACAGCTGTTTTAACAAAAGGAAGGAAAAGTTATGCCCATGAAAAAAACACGGAAATGTGCGCAGGGGTTGGAATGGAGGGAAAAAGAGAATAAGGATAGCATAACTAGAGAAATCATTTATCATTTATACTGATGTTGGTGGGGTATTGTACAGAAATACTTAAGTCCACTATCATACAATCATAGAATCATTAAGGTTGGAAAAGACCTGTAAGATCATCGAGTCCAACCGTCAACCCAACACCACCATGCCCACTAAACCATGTCCCTAAGCGCCTCATCTACACGTCTTTTAAATACTTCCAGGGATGGTGACTCCACCACTTCCCTGGGCAGCCTGTTCCAAGGCCTGACCACTCTTTCAGTAAAGAAGTTTTTCCTAATGTCCAGTCTAAACCTCCCCTGGCGCAACTTGAGGCCATTTCCTCTTGTCCTATCACTAGTTACTTGGGAGAAGAGACCAACCCCCACCTCGCTACAACCTCCTTTCAGGTAGTTGTAGAGCGCGATGAGGTCTCCCCTCAGCCTCCTCTTCTCCAGGCTAAACAGCCCCAGCTCCCTCAGCCGCTCCTCAGAAGACTTGTTCTCTAGACCCTTCACCAGCTTCATTGCCCTTCTCTGGACACGCTCCAGCACCTCAATGTCCTTCTTGTAGTGAGGGGCCCAAAACTGAACACAGTATTCAAGGTGCAGCCTCACCAGGGCCGAGTACAGGGGCACGACCACCTCCCTACTCCTGCTGGCCACACTAGTTCTGATACAGGCCAGGATGCCGCTGGCCTTGTTGGCCACCTGGGCACACCGCCGGCTCATGTTCAGCCGGCTGTCAACCAGCACCCCCAGGTCCTTTTCCTCTGGGCAGCTACATCAGTTATTAGTTGTCCAGGTTCACTGCCTCATACTTATGTAATAACCAGCTTTACACAGAGTGACTTCTGTGCTAACAAACACAAATTTTTAATCCCGATCTATTCTAAAAGTTATCTTACTGAACTGCTTCCTTCTATACTACCTCACAGTTTATCAGTTAAGACCTTCTCACAAAAAGAACAGAGAGTCCTAGCTCACAGAATTTATCTTTCTTAAAAGAAAAGAAACTTGCATATTTCAATGTGTTGGGTAAATAGTATAATTTTATCTGAATTTTCTAAGGTTTGGGTGGAGGAGACACTTTCCATATTTTTCACATATTTACAAGTATTTTCCTTAAACTTAAAGAAAAAATGGATTATCTAGTAACTCACATGTTTTAAGAAGAACCAAAACACACACACACACTTGAACTGATATATTCTGAAAAACAATATTTTGTATAATACTACACCATCTTCTTATGAAAAATTACCTTCATGTTTTAATCCACATTCCTTGTGCTGTTCTGCCAGCTGTTGCTCACTTTTCTTGCAAATGTAACATCTGAAAACAAAAATACCATTCAATTCCTGAAAACAAAACTACTATTCAGTTTAACTTTTTTGGTTTACCCAGTCATTACAGGACTTTCCCTCACCACAAGATGCAGGCACTGACAAGCCTGATGTGACATAAAGCATGATAGCCCTGCAGGCAGTATAGGTACTTAAGTACAGTGCTGAAGATTACTGGACGTCAGAAATAACAGCATTACAGAGCCCTAAGATCACATATGTTGAAAGGGACCTCTGATGTGGTCCAAACCCCTGCTCAAAGCAGGTCTTATAGGATCAGGATGTTCAGTGTCTTGTTCAGTCAAGTTTTGACTGTCTGCAGGGGTGGAGTCCACAAGACCTCTGGGCAACCTGTTCCAAAATTTGACTGCTATAACAGTGAAAGACATTGACATACTGGAGCCAGTCCTTCATCTCACAAGTGCTGAGTACAGGGAAAGAAATCACTTCTCCTGACCTGTTGGCTTCTCTTTTGCATAGAAAGCCCAATATACAGCTGGCCTTCCTTGCTGCAAGGACACACTGCTGACTCAGGTACAGCTGTTGTCCACCAGGATCCCAAAAGTTCTTTTTGGCAGAGCTGTCTTCCAGCCAGTCAGTGCCCAGTCAGTACTGTTGCATAGGACTATTCCATCCCAGATAGACAACGTTTGCCTCTCCTGAACTTCAGGAGGTTCCTATCAGTCATTTCTTCAGCCCACCAAGGTCCCTCTGAATAGCAGCCCTGACTTTCAACATGTAAACCACTCCTCCCAATCTGGTATCATCCTTAAAACTGCTGAGAGTGCACTCCCTGCCATCATTAATAACGATGTTGCACAGTATTATCCCTAGTATTGATCCCCGAGGCACACCATTAGTAATTGGCTGCCAGTTGGACTTGGTACTCACAACCTTTCTAGGTAGTCTAGCCAGTTTTCCACCCATCCACTTACCTAGTCCTCACCTCATCAATTTGGTTTTAATACTACTACAGGAAACAGTACCAAAGGCCTTGCAAAGTCAAGGTATGTAACACCCACTGTTTCCCCCTCATCCACAGGATTGGGGACCTGTAAGGCTGGGGGCAGACTACATTCATGAAAACTGGGACAAAGGAGTAATTTTCCAGCATTTTCCATATCTTTTATCACTAGGTTCCCCATGCCACTAAACAGCAGGTCCACAGTTCCTTTAGCCTTTTGTTATGATTGGAATACTTATATAATCCCTTTGTAATAAGTAACACCCTTCACATCCCTCACTGATTTCCTCCACCTGAGCTTTGGCTTTCTCAGTTCCATCCCTGCACATTTAGATAATGTCTCTGTGTTCTTCCAAAGTAACTCATTCCACTTCCATCTTCTCTTTACTTCTCAGATCCTTGCTCATCCATGTTGGTTTTCTATCATGCTTATTCAAGTTTCTGCATATCAGAATGGACTGTTCTTGTGCTTTGAGGAGGTACCAACCAACTCTCCTGGACCTCTTTGTCCTCCAGGGCAGTTTCCCACGGAATCTTGCCAAGATTCCTGAATAAAGCAAAATCTGCTCTCCTAAAGTTCACGGTTGCAATTCTACTTTTTGTCTTGCTTACTTCTCTCAGGATTTTAAACTTTTAAATCTCACCGTCACCACTACCAAGACTGCCCTCAACCGTCACATCCCCCACCTTCCTTTTCTGTAACCAGCAGAGCATTTCTCCTGATCAGCTTGTCAATCACCTGCATGATCACTATCACCACCACACTCCAGGATTCTCCTGAATTGCTTGTGCTCAGCCCTATCGCCCTTCCAGCAATTATCAGGATGTATAAAATCCCCTCTGAGGCATCAGGCACTGTTTACTCCCTGACTGAGACCCAGATGACAGCTTTCTCCCTCTGGAGCTTCCCCAGCATCAAGGCACCCGATGGATCAGGACAGTTGCTCCAGCTAGTACTGGAGACCGTGATCTGTAGCATGTCACAGCACTATTATCACAGCACAGTCTCAGCAAGTTCCATGCAGTTTCTGGCTCCTCTGTATCCTGCTCTGCTGTTTGCTGCTGTGACAACTACTATATTTCTGATAGCTACATTCATATATGAAGAAGAATAATAAATACTAGTGCATAACTTCAAGCAAGTGAAAGCAAAGAGAAAGGAACACTGGGAGATTAAGGCAGGCCCCCTGACGGGAAAAACAAGTGAAGAATATCACACAGATTTTATACAGCATAGTAGTAGTCTATAAAAAAAGGCTAAATAGGCTGATTCCTGAGAGGACCTATCCTCAGGTCAAGCCATGCCAGCTGCTGTCATGGCACTAAAACAATTGCTAAAATTGCTAGATCCAATTACATTGTGAACATTTGAGAATTTTTGAATAATTATTTCCATTTGTAGAAGCTATGAGGCATCCAGACTTTTCATTTATTAGCAGTAACACAGCATAGTACCCTCAGCATCTTGTAACTGGGTACTGTGCTGTTATACTTTGCTTCATTTAAAATTGGGGGAGGGGAGGACTAGCTGACAACATTTTATTACATATTTGTTTACTGACCTGATAAAATGAGGTGTTCTCTTTAAGGAGTCAATAAACTTTTTTAAAAGCTTAGAGATAAGCTTTTTAAAAGGCTTATCTCTAAACTTTTTAAAAAGCTTATCTCGTCCAGAGCAAGTGTTTTAATGTTAAAAACAACATTTCTGTCACTTCTGTTTATGTACAGGCCTTTTCAAATAGTTCATGTCAAATATCCAGAGATAAACGTTAGCCTACCCTGTTCTGCAGCTATCTTTATCTCGTGGAGATCCCAGTGTGTGTTTTGCTGGTTGAAAAGAAATTGTTCCTTCATAGTAATGATGAGAAAGAAAAGTCTTGAAGCCTACATAAGAAAGGTATTAAGAAGCATTAAGTCATTATAAACCCACATTGTGAACACCTCTGCATACATCCCTTGACTGTTCCTCTCCTTCCTTCTCTAAGGACTGCAAAACAATAGTTGCTCTCGTTAAGCTCATAACTCTTTGTGTTATGATGTTTTAGACTGTAAAGGACAAGGAAATAACGCGCCCCCCCGCCCCAAACTTTTTAACATTTGCCAGTAGTGCCATTACTTTGCTTGACTCCTTTAAGAGCCAACTAAAAATTTTAGCTGTACATCACTGCTGAATCTTAAAATTAGCCTACACTACTTAAATTAAGCTTTTGCATCTTCTTACCCTAACACAAAACAAATCAAAGAAAGCAAAAAATACTTTCCAGTAGCATAGGATTTGTCCAAATATTAGCTATCTAGGCTAAACCACTCAGCTCTCTCTATAAGCAGTGCTGGAAGAAGGACAAAATTAACAATTCATTCCATCAGCTGAATGTCCAAGACAGAGGAGTACCTATCTCTCTGTAACTGATTGAAAAGAAAGTAAAAATTATTAGCACAGAAAAGATACTACTTTTTAGGCAGTTATCACTAGGTGACATATAGCAACACATTTCTATTAACAACACAGAATAGCACTAGCAATTTTATTAATAAAAAAGCTTATAAACAAATTTGAATTAGAGTTGCTTCCAACATCATTTATAACAATTCAATATAAAATTTTTCATTCTTTATAAAGATCATAAAATACTTAAAACATTAACATTAATCAGTTAATTTAACAACTGTGCTATATAGTCAAATTCAACACAACTTTAATGAACACACTGTTAATGTTATCCCCCAAGTTATGGAGCTTTAATAACGTGATCCAATGTACTTGGTACCACAAGGAGTTTAAAACCAGGTTCAGTCTGCCACTTACGTTTAAAAGCTTCAGAGAAGCTTGGTTTGGAGAGAGCACATCAACGGCTCCAATATATTTATATGCTGACAAAAGAATGCAATAATTACACAAGTTACCTGAGTAGTCATATCTCATCGGACCCATCCACCGCTTCTTTTCACTATCTTTTAATATATCTCCATAAAAACCGTAACCCAGCAATGATACAGAGTACTTCAAAAACGTGTTGTTATGATGTACAGAAGAGACATCCAGAGGCTGACAGTCACCTATGAAGATTAGAAGTGCAAGGCTCTATTAAGGCTTATTTTGTTTGCAGCTGCAAACATCATAGTAACTTTAACGTTACACAATTTCTTCAAAATAAAAAATATATGCTGTATTTATGTCATAACATATATATGTCATATATCCATATATGTTTCTTATACATGCAGAAAGGGAAAAATAATTTTTTAATACTAATTTAATTTAACATTTAAAAAGCATTATGCACTATGTAAGAAGAAAGGTCTGTATGTTAAAAATATATAATGAAGAATTTATACTCATTTACCGTGTAGCAGCAGGAGGGAATGTTATAGAAGAGATCAGTGCAGTATCTGTACATCTACCAGATACTACTTAATTATATGTCATACTATCAAAGGATAATTCAAGCTGGAAGGGGCCGTAGGAGGTTTCTCATCAAATCTCCCACTCAAAGTAGGTTCAGCTATGAGGTCAGATCTGGTTACTCAGGGCTTATCCAGTCAAGTCCTGAAAATCCCTAAGAACAGAGAGTACACTACCACTCTGATATCCTCTAGTGTAAGCTTTGGAGTGGTGGTGGGTTTTGGGGGATTTGGGGAAGGGTGTGGTGTTATTTCTTTGCTTGTTTGGTTTTTTTTGTTTGGTTTGGGTTTTTTCTCTTTTCTTCTTTTTCACTTTATGCCCATTGTCTTTCATCCTTCCACCACGGACTACTTACCCTTTATGTAAGTGAGAAACACTCTTAAAAATCTAAATACATGTGTATATAAGCACATTTAATAATCCAGCTAAAATACTATGATACACTCAGTCCATACCTCTCTAATCCTAGTCCAATGGCCTAAACTCTACATACGCTGAACAGATTTAACAATAGGTTAGTAACAGAAGCACATGTGTAAACCTTTGCAACATCAGCTCCTAAAACTGCAACTGTTAAGCACTCAGTAACAAGTGATAATGAAATAATCATCCCTTGGAAATTCTATCCTTTATGCTTACACAACTTTGTTATAACTGAAGGCTATCTTGCACAATTTTTCAAATTCAGTATTAAGAACTGGGTGACTATGATTCTTCAGTATGTGGCAAGATAGGATGGACATCACACAAATCACAATGCACTGAATATGCCAAGTTGTCTCCTTCAGCCCCCCTGCAGTTCAGGGACTCCATTACTAGAGGACTTTGAGAAGTGGCAATGTCAGCATCCCTACTGATGATAACATATCAACATATTGAAAAGTAGTTGTTTTCCTCCCTAGTTTCTCCTCAAATATATGACTTACAGATGCTAAAAATGGGGAATTATCAGCTAATTCCAGTCAAGCAGAAGCCATACTTCTAAGTTGGCATGGAAGCATTGAATTGCACAAGACAATTGGGCAACTAGTACAAAACACTACTATTCAAGTGTACATGCACTTGTCATAGCTTTCTCTGAGAGAGAGAGAGAGAAAGAGAGAGAAAGTGTCCAACAATTTACACTGCTTAGTGTGTTTTACTGCTATTTTCAAAAGCATGCCAGAATGCATGAAAACTTAAGCACCAGATATAAAATTTCAAAGCATTATGATCCCTTGAAAACAATGAATTACAGTAGAGAAAGCAATTCTGTATTTCAAATCGGAGACTTAAATCCCAGAAAAAAAAAAATCATATTTCAACTCAGCCATTATGTTCAAATTATATTTCACAAACATATAGAAAGAACTAAATGGAATTACTATTTTTGGCTATTTTAATTATTTTCATAACAAAACAGTGAACAGTGACCACCCACCTACAATAATATGAAGAGCTGATGTTACTGGATCAGAAATGCCAACAGTTGAATAGCATATGCAATCTGTTGATCCTGAAAAATAAAAAATTAGAGATTAATTCATATCTTTTCAAAACAAGTATTATTGGCATGGTCCTCCAAATAAAAGCATTATGTTCCTCTGGCCTGCCCCCTTCTATTTTATGGAACAAAGTAAATATAAGGATACAAACATTACAATTTAAATTGTAACTTCCTCTCCCTCCCCCCCGCAATGAGTAGAATTTATTTCTCTCCATACAAAGTACAAAGATTTTCACTATATAAGCAATAAATATATAGCAGTTAGAATTAGTTAATTCACATGAAAAATTTCAGGATTACATTACAGCTTTTATACCAATTAAGGATGGAGGGGAAGGAAGGCATATGGTGATTCTCCTTTGCTTAAGATTTTTTACTTGCTGAGATCTCATGAAAAGAAGTTGACCGACTCTTGTTTTTTGGGGGAGTGTTCTAAATCCGAGACTGTCAATATCCCCTCCTCCTCCAGCTGCATCTTAAACCAGAAACTCCTCCTTAGTTCTACTATTTCAAAATTAGTAAATACTTGCTTTCAGGAATTAGTTTATAGATTGGGGAGCAAAGTGAATAGAGATGTGCCTTTACAGTTTTGAGCAAAATACCTACAAGAAGCGGGGAAGCTTTAGGTTTCACCTATATTCTGTCTTTGTTACTAACTACCTTCAGGCCACTCCTCACTCAGTATGTCCACTCAGTATTTTAGGTGCTGTTTAGAGACAGGCAATTCTCCCTGATCCCTATTTAAAAAAAAAAAAAAAAAAAATTAAGAGCCTAATGTAGGGTTCTGAATCCTACTCTGCAGCAGGGACTTGAAAGTCCAGGCCAGACGTACCAAAGCATTTTTGTTGCAGCATTTAACTCCAAATTTATCCTGTAGTTTCTCCCATCCCTTTCCTGAAACTGAATCCCTTTAAAGTCAAGGCTGGATATCTGAAGACAAAAACTTACTTTGTCCACGTATATGTTCTCAGATTTGCTACTGATAACACTAGATGTAGAGCAGCTCAGATACAGAGTACTTCATTTCTGAGGCCTAATGAAATTGAAATAGAAAACTAAAAATGGAGGAATAAGCAATCACTATTTAAAATCCACTTTTGGTTCTTTCTCACTTTGAAAACAGTCAGGGCATATACAGTTATCAATAGGAGCAAAGAAAATCCTTTCCCCTCCAACTCACTTCTCAGGAAATGACACCACTTCCCCTACCAGTGAAGGGCATGAGAGAAGCTTCTATCAAGTAAACGCTATGCAGAAGCCTGCCACAGTGAACAAGCAGCAGCTCCAGGAGCCAATTAAAGAAAATATAAATATTACAGAACAAAAGAAACAGTGTGACTAAAGAGACCTCCCTCTACAAGGTTGAGGTTCAAGACAGTACAAGTGTACCATTACAGGTACATGCTGTTGCACAGGAAACGGGACTCCCAATTTCTCTCACTATTGTAACAGATGAGATACACAGATGATGTCATCACACCACATTTGGAGTTTTATAGCAGAAAATATTAAGTAGAGTTCAGATACTAAAGCTATGCTTTACTGCCAATTTTTTCAGTTTCATTTTGCGTCTTACACTCACGAATTTCAGTTAGGCAGAAAAGAAAACTCTCACTACTTTTGAAAAGAAAAACAAACAAACAAAAATAGCCACTAAAAGATCGGACCTGAACTTTTACTGCTGAATGTACAAGCCTAGCATTTCATCCAACCTTTCTCATTTCTTCAAGATCTGTTTGTATGATGCTGCTAAAATTACATCAGTCACATTCATCCTGATGTAAACAGAACTTCCAAGTAGTCTTACACTACAGGTGGAAGAAGAGGGGAATTCATGCAAACTACATTTTAACATCAAAGGCTTATCTCCCTATACTCTTCTGTAATCAATTAAAAGCTGATCTATCTATTGGGCAATTTTATAGAACTTATTTTCATTTCTATTCATTAACTAGCAAGGGAGGGCTAAAATTAGATCTGAAGTCTGAAATTCAGAGATTCTAAAATGGGAGACTGGGGAAGACATCAACAGTGTTTACCAACTGTCAAATCATCTCTTGCTCAGACATGCCAGTGGAGTACCAACTACAAACAGTAAAATATCATCTTTTTTTCCCCTCTCTTGGAGCCGGCAGTATGGACCAACAAAACTGACATCATTCTTTATGTACATTCCAAGAGAATATAACTGGTCATAACACCACACCAAGCATGAACCTAATGGTACTAGTTTAAAGGTCACAAAAATGTTCGTGATGACTAAGGATTTGAATATCTTTGAATACTTCTGCCCATCTCACCTGCAGACACCTAAATGTAAGCATGAAAATTTGAGTATCAATTTCAAATTGAAACTCACCTGAAGGAGAGTAACTCCGTTATCTAAAATGACACCAACCACCAGTGTTCAAGTGCTGCAGATTACTGTGCTTGGCTCCCAACTGCTACTCTAGCACAACAGTTGTCTTACATAGGGCTGGTACATTTCAACAACGGTGGCACCATACCACCATATGTAGATAGCCAAATCCCAAACTAAATGTCTGAAATCTCCCAGATAAAGAAAGCTCTCATCCCAGATATTTTGATATTAAGAGTCTACTGAAAATATCTAGTGTGTAGAGAGCATATCAACTAGTTGTTAGAATAGGTATAATTACTTTGAATCTTTACCATACATTATGTACACTAGAGCCCTGTTTCATTACCCATTTTCTCCAAAATCTGTTTGTTATTCGGAGGTATCATACAGCCACATAGTTGTTATATAGGCAAGTTCTTCTATGTTCTTTCCCTCCCCAAATTTAAACACTGTAATTTTTAAAATAAATTTAATGATTTAAAAATTATCAAGGAAATCCTTCCTTTTAATTAATTACAAGGAGAAATGATCAAGATATGTATTTAAAATATTAAAGAGTATGTACTCCCCATAAAACATTTTTGCTAAAGCAAGATTAAAGAAACCAAAGTGATGGACTGCGCTACCAAGAATACAGTACAGCTAAATCACCAGATTTCGCCTTTGCATGCAAATATTGCTGGATATTTGTCAGTAGACAAGTCATGCAGAGAGGTGCTCAGACACCACCTCACAAGCTTTAAATTGGTCATAGAACGACCAAAGTGATAAGCAAAACCAGATGATTTACTGGTTGTACAGAAGACTTCATGCCATTGATTCTGTGGACCAAAAAAAAAAAAAAAAAAAATCAAAGTGCTAGAATTAATCATCTGAAAAAATGATTAGACTACTAACTTATAATTAAGTTTTCTTAAACCAAAACACACGCCTGCTGTGGGCTATAAGTATTCATTCAAAAACTAAACAAATTCCAAAGAACCGGAAGTACTAAACTAAGCAGATGACAAGCAACAGTCATCTAGATGTTGATCCTATAGAAAAGAGTGAATTTAATAAAGAAATAGAAATACTTTTAGTGCTCATGAGCATTACTCCATGTGAGATAACCTCGAGAGGGGCAGGTGCTCCCACAGCACACACAGAATCCTCAGAGACAAATTAATATGGCAACAGGATTTTGTACTGCAAACAGGTAGAATAACAACTTCAGTGGGGGTCCCGTACATTTGTAGTATTTTTGTGAAGTCACAATCCATGCAGTCACCTCATAGATGAAATACCAGGTAAGTCATGCTAATGACAGTGTAACTGCACACTCTTGGTCAAGCAGCATTTAGTATTTTGAAAAATCTAGATGGTGACTTTTCTGGGAAGTGATTTTCAAATGACAAGGATCTAACACATTCAAAAGTAAGGGGAGAAGCTACTGTTACAGGGAGAGATGAATGGCTTGGGCATACAATCATGTTCCTACTCAAAGTTTTAGAATCATAGAACAGAATCGTAGAATAGTTTGGGTTGGAAGGGACCTTTAAAGGTCATCTAGTCCAACCCCCTGCAATGAGCAGGGACATCTTCAACTAGATCAGGTTGCTCAGAGCCCTGTCCAACCTGACCTTCAATGGTTCCAGGCATGGGGCATCTACCACCTCTCTGGGCAACCTGTTCCAGTGTTTCACTACCCTCTTTTAGTTTAAAACCATTCCCCCTTGTCCTATCACAACAGGCCCTGCTAAAGTTTGTCCTCATTTTTCTTATAAGACCCCTTTTAAGTACTGA